GGACTTTATAACCATTCTGGTCCATGCCATCTTTTTTTCTTTTCTGTCTCAATAACTTTTAATACCTCTGTTTCCCCCTGGGCAAGAGCAATGGGCAGAAATACTTTCCATTTTCCTGCCTTCAATTTTTGTTTTGTTTGACCATCTTGGAGAGTGCCTTAGCTTGGGACTCTGTGTCCAGCAGATAGCCAGGTACTGCTGTGGATGGGGCCTTTTCACATTCTTTTGCTTGCTGTTTTTTCCTTCAGGCATCTTGCTCTTTTTCATTTGCATTTTCTCATCATGGAGTTGCTTTTGGTAGAGCTTAGCCTTCAGACCAGTCTTTTTTATTTGTTTGTTTGTTTTTGCCTTTTTTGAACATTTATGTATCTCTTGGCTTTCCTTCTTCCTTATTTTATCATGGCAATCCAAACAATACTCGTAGCATTTATGGTATATTCATTTTGTGGTGGGGTGAAGCCATAGATGCACTGGATGCAGCCCCTGGGGCATGAAGAAGTTCTCATTTTCCCCAAATAAGGTTTTTAATAGTTGGGATGTGTTCAAGTGACAACATTTAATGTTTTAATATTTGAATCCTCTCATTTTAATGTGATTGTACCCTCCATGTCTTACATTTTATTCTAAAGAATATTTTCTTTGATCCTTTTTAAAAAACAAATGAGCATGACTTATTCAGTTAGGACAAATAGTCACCTAGATACCGGTGATGGGTAGGGGATGGTAAAGGTTTCTGGGACCCTTCATGTTGACATCAGCTACTGTTGGGTCAACTCACACATAAGACTAACTGAGTCACATTAATGTTGATCTTAAATTATTCTAGTAGATATAAAATATTCTTGTTACCACTAAGGAGTTCACTTATTTTATTTTTATGACCACAAGAATAAACTGTATCCTTGCATGAATTGGTATTAGAAATGTCAGGTAATATAAACAAAAGCAAACTCATAGGTCCAAATCCAGGGTTAATGTTGCCACCACTCTATGGAGAGTTACTTACTTGCTTACTTGAAGTTTGCTGAAAAGTTTCTTAAGTGTGTTCCTTTCAGTACAGTACTGTACTTGGTGGGCTTTAAAGATTTATTTTTTATTGCTTTTCTTTTATATTTTTTATATTCTCCTAAAATTGATCAAGGATATTTTCAGGAGATTTCTAAAATAACATGTCAAAGACAAAGGTTAGTCTGCTATTTTAGGTAGATATAATGTTAAGTAAATCACATAGGCCTAGAAAGGATATTTTTAATCAAGAGTCTGATGCTTTGGGAATATTTGTTGGAATATCTAAAGATAGTTTTTGTGAAGCCAGGCATGTGGCACATACCTGTGATCCCAGTGGCTTGGGAGGCTGAAGCAGGAGGATCACAAGTTCAAAGCCAGTCATAGCAACTTAGAGAGGCACAAAGCAACATAAGCGAGACCCCCGTCTCTAAATAAAATTTTTAAAAAGGTGGGTAAGGAGAGGTGGCTAAGGAGAGGTGGCTGGGGATGTGGTTCAGTGATAGAGTGCCTTGGATTCAATCCCTGGTACCAAGAAAAAAAAAAAAAAAAGATAGTTTGTGTGTTGCAGCAGCATGTTGAGCTGCCATTGCTAACTAGGCTTCAGTTAAAATGAACGTAGTCATTCGTCTTAGAGGTCACTGTGAGACGCAGATACCCTTATTCAAGTAGTAAAGAAGAAAAACACAGCAGAACTTTATCTTAAAATGCCTCTTTGTAAAATTGATATATATTATGATTATATGTGACCACGGGATTCATTGTGATATGCACAAAATATCATTTGATCAATTTCATTCCCCAGTGAGCTCCCCTTTTCTCTCCTTGCCTCCCTCGTCTGATCCCCTTCTTCAACTCCTACTGGTCTCCTTTCTATTTTCATGAGGTCTATTTTTTAAAATTCATTTCTTAAATTAAGTTGAATTAAGTTTGCTAAGAGTGAGAACACATGCATTCTTACAGGAATGAGGATGCACTGTGTTCTTGCAGGGCTCTGCGATGAGCCTTGCTTTGGGCTGTCTCGTGCACCAATGTTAACAGCCTGAGGATGAATTGCAGACACTGTAAGGAGGACTGGAGTCCAGGATGGACCTGGATGATTCATTTGTATATTTGTTTTATTTTTTAATTAGTTAGTTACTTAGTTAGTTATTGTAGGTAATGAATATTTGTCCCATAGGTCAAAATTTTTGTCTTATTTACTAGTCTCACCAAGCAAAGTAGGTGTAGATTTTTCATATGGGTATATGACTCATTCTGGAATTCTCTTCTCTTGTTTTAAACTTAATATTAAATTTAAATTTATGGCTAGTAAGCTTTTTTTAGGAAAATGATAACATTTTAAAATGTTGCTACAGCTTTTAAGGATTTCAGTCAATTCCCTTGACTAACAAATATTTTTTGAGCTTGTATTGCAATTAATAAACTGCCATATTTTAGCAGAAGGGAAGATAACTGTGACACCTGAGACATGGTTTCTATACTCAAGGCTATGTCTTTACCAGAGCAGATGCTGAATCAATAGTTTTTTAATAAATACATCAGTAAATAATATTCATAATCTGTAAAGGAATCAAGGAAAGAAAGCCAGTGGAGTGTTGCTTTGTCCCTGATCTATCTTTGTAGGCTGGAAGAATTCTAAGCAAATTACAGGTCTCTGACAGACACTGGTTGATTGAATGACCAAATGGACATGTAGTGTCCATTGCTTGTGGATAGAGTTGTTGGAATCCAGGGGAGGAGCATCATTTCCAGTTGGGGAGGAAAGGCTCATGGATATGTGAGAGAAAGGGAGGGCTTTCTAAAAATAGGGAATGTTGTGGAGGCAATCACAGATAAGTTGGAGGCTGACTGTAGAAGTGCAGCAGTAGTGAGCTGTTAAGTTTGGAAAGTCCTGGGAGGCAAGCTTGTTTCCCTGTTGAATGAAGAGTAAAACTGATATTTTAGAAGAATTATGTATATCTAGAGGTATTATATTAGATACATTGAAAAAGGAGAAATCATGAAGCACATATTGACAAGGCTCAGTAATTAATTGAGTTGATGAGGGAAAGGAAAGTGTTTTGAATTTGATTGACTTGGGTAATAGTAAAAGCATACACAAAAATAGGACAGTTAGAAAATCAGCATTTTGTGGGTAGATTTTTGTATTTCAAATCTTTTAGCGTGGACTGATAGAAATGAGACCTGAGAGGGATCTTGGAGATTGACTTACTCATTAGACTCAAATTACCAATGAGAAAGCTGAGTAGGTTCTGGAACAGCCCTCAAACACATAATCTCTGACCTAGGCACAGAGCTCAAATAGGGTGGCAAGTGTAGAGTCATTTATAGTGTTTTGAAGGTTATTTAAGTAGTATTCGTTTGCAGCCTGACTTTCATTTTAGAATTGAAGAGCCATTATACAAATAAATTGCAGGTAACGTACTAGGAGATACCGTCTATGTAGTATAAACACTGTGTTTAAGATTGAAATAAAAATCTTTTAAGTGTTTTTCAGTGTACTCATTCATTCTTACTGGTAAAAACAATCTGAACTTAAACTTGTACCCAAAAGTCATACCAGCAGTGAATTTGTTTGTCTTTCATTTCAAATATCCTGGCATATTTATATTTAGTAGATTCTATGCAGTTATCACCAAGTTGAAGCTTATCAATTCTAAACATATTTTGCACAGAAAATGTTTTGTCTTAGACCTTTGATCATCGGTCTTAGATGTCATATTTTCACATTTAAAGGGAAGTCAGTCTCTAAGGCTTCCTTCTGTTAGTGTCTCTAGATGAAGGGTCTTAACCCATCTACTCTTCTTCTTGGGATGACTCCAGGAAGGATGGGGCAGTTATAAGTAGAATTGGTCTTGAATGTACATTACAGAAAAATGATAGGGCTCTGAAGGAGTGATGGGGCCCAATCTCACCTTTTGCATATCTGTTTTTGTTCTTCAATTCCTGTTACACTGAAGATAGAAAATAATGCCCACCTTCCAGCTCATATCCTTTGTTATCTGCCTGTTCTTGACCTGAATATGTAAGAGCAACACTGGTTTTGCCTTCTGGAGCTCATGGGACTTTCCAAAAATTGAGCTGAGCTTAATGTGTGAACATTCTGATAACTTCTTTGCTTCTAGCCATCTGCCTTCCTGGGCTCACACCTTAGTGGAAGAAGATAGGGTGCTAAATAGGCCTGGGGAAAGAGCCCTTTGTTCCTCAGTAAAAGCAAAAGAGGAAGAGAGTGACTGGGCAGCGTGTAGCATGAGAATAGAAGGTAACTAGTTCTTTTATAGTAAGATGAAGGGTGGAATTCTTAAACCTGGATTATCACTAGTAGGGAATTAGAATAACCATAAGATAGTAGCATCTAATAATTTGCCATCATACTCCTAACTCTTATTTGAAGAACTTTTTGTTTCTCAAATTGCAGTAATAGCACTGAGATTTAAAAGAAAATTATTAGTTATATTTGCTTATTTTCAATCAGTTTCTAGTGGTAATAACTGCTTTTGTCTTTAGGGGAGTGCTGAGAGTTTAACAACCAATCTACAGGATAAGCATTTTAAAATTAGTGATCCCAAGCAATGAGATGATAGGGAAGTCTTGATGATCTCAGAGCTGGCATTGGAGAGAGAGAAGGAGGTAAATTCACATGTCTGAGGCTCTAGGTGGTGGGCAGATGCACTTCAGTAGTAGGAGTTAGCTTTGGAGGAGAGAACAAACATTCTGCGTAGAAATGGGAAACTAGCAGCATTGCTAGTTGGCGTTTCTAGGCTGGAGCTAATGAATTTCCTTTTAACCTGAAATTTTCAGGAATAGTCAGGTTCCTACTTCTGCAAATACCATATGAAAAGACAACCCACTGTTCTTGGATTTATAGACCTAATTTACCAGATTGAAGGACACTTGCTCTTTTTAACTAGCTGAACTAGCTGGCCCCTGCATGGCTGAGTTGCTATGGTAATATGAGCTCAGTGACCTCTCTTCTCTGTTGTGGAATGTAGGTGAAAAGGACGGAGGGGAGCCGGATGATGCTGAACTGGTAAGGCTCAGTAAGAGGCTGGTGGAGAACGCGGTGCTCAAGGCTGTGCAGCAGTATCTGGAAGAGACACAGAACAAAAAGCAGCTTGGGGAAGGGAGCTCTGTGAAAATCGAAGAGGCTGAGCGGAATGGCAATGACAGTGATAACAACAGGAAATGAGACCCCAGCAGATTCCTGCTGCTCTGTGAAAAGCATCCTGCTCCCCTCTGCCAAGGCTCCGGACTGACTTGCAATGTGCTTTTTAAGCATCTCTTATCCAATCCATGGAGGTTGCCCAAAGCTTTCATGATAGATGCCTTTGCATTTCTGAAACAACAGAAGAGAAATGGAATGCTGGGACTAGCAGGGGAAATTAATTTCTGGAAGAAAGATGGCCCAAGTTTCACTTGCCCTCAGCCAGGCACAAGGGAGGGGGGACTTTGGATCACGCCTCCTGGACTTAGAAGCTGCAGGAGAGGTCTTGCCATAAATGGAACACTGCCATTTATATTGTGTAGGACATTTGACTAATTTATCTGAGGCCAAAACTCACACACAGCTATCAAGTGCTAAATTTAAATTCATCACTGTTGAGATTATCATCTGTGTAGTTAATCCATAATGTTTTATGTTGTTCTCAGTGTGCTGTCATTGGGTAGTGATCTTTCTTTACAGTAAATTATGTTTCATGTAAATGATATATTTTCGGCAAATGAAACCTTTTCTATAAAATGTGGGCAACATTTCAAAGGGTTTTTCACCTTATTTTGATAAGTCAATATGCCATATTTAATGTATTTCATTGACATTTGTACTTTAAATGTATTATATAATTTTTTTCCCTTAGGCAAGAAACCTGTTGGAATTCAAGACTTAATTAATGAAGCTTTACATCGAGAAAGGATGGGTCTCAAGGCCAAGGTGCAACAGATAAAGAAACTTTTATTAAAGCCTGAGACTCAGGCCAAAATTAGGAGGGAGCTTTTTGAAGGAAGACTTATTGACAATAGTAATCAAGCAAATCATGTTGAATTCAGCGCAACTTTGACATAAGCTTTTTGTTGTTATCATGATAACATAGTTATGAAATCTTTTCAGCTTCTTAAATATCTCTTTGGTAAATACCAAAGTATTCTGATAGGTTCTATACAACAGTGAACCAACATTTGGTAAGGAATTTCTTGCCAAAGAAAACCAATTTTGCCCTGTTATTTTTTGAGCTCAACTTGTGTTTTAGAATAATTGTTTCTGTAATATTGAGTCACTTTATAGAAATGACTTCCTAATTAGCTGTTGTGAGATGTTTCTTGGTCTTCTCAGACAAAAAAATACAGACTGTGAAAAAATCATTTACAGAAAAGAACAAAACCAACAACAGTATTTTAAGGGTCACTTGCTTCCTGTTGACATGATATTAAATCAAAAGAAGCATTGTCCAGCTGTCTACATTTAGTGTTACTTTTAATGAAAATTTGAATGTTTATTGAACATTAATAGTACTTGAATGAACATTTATAAATATAGTAATTGTAATCACTGGTTAAAATGTTTTATAATACCCATATGTATTATTTTTCATTGATCAAAATGTAATTTGCTTTGTCATTTCTTAATGAATGAATGTTTCAGATTTTATTTTCTACTTTTTTGAAGATAAGCCCCAGGTCTTATCACATCCCTTATAATTTGAATTTGTTTGCACTGGTTCAATTTTAAAGAGCATTCTTGAAAAATTTCTCCCCATATGATTATTGGTAACAGCTTTTTTTCTATAGTCATTGTAAAATTGCTGCTACTCATAGATCATGATGGAAGGAGAAATGATTGGAGATCAAATATGTAATCATTCAAATATAAAATCCAGTTTGCTCATGGATTTTAGCTATTTTTTCACTGGATAAATTATATTACATTTATTTATAAGTGAGTTTATGCATTTTCATGCCTCTTAATAAATGTATTGTTTTCCCTTGTTGCTTTCCTTTCTTTTTCTTACTCTTGGAAGTTGTTGGGTCTGTGCTGGTTCACTGAAATCAGGAATAGGAGCTCTGATAGTTTCAGTGTTTGTTCACTGTTATGTTCTTATCTTCATGCTAAAAGAGCACAGTTGTCAAAGCACCATCAACTCTAGACTTTTAAACCATTTCAAGTAAGTCAGCTTCACAGAGAATTAACAACAGAACATTAAATTCAAATAAAATCTAAATAGTGTCCTATGAACAATTAACCATGTATCACCGAAGTGACATCAATAGCAAAGACAAAAGGACTAGACCCACCCCGGGCAGAGGGAGCTGAGCTGTGTGCTCTGGACCTTTTTTCAGTGATTGAGGCCCTTCTTGGCCTTCTTAAGTAGCCCTTAGGTAGAAAACAAAGATATTTTTAGCTTGCATTGTGTTTCAAATGAGAAAGCACACTGGAAGAAGTTGAGGTTCTTATCCAAGGCCATGCTGTTGTTAGGGATCTGGACACAAACGATAATCCAGATGTCCCAGTGCTACTTTCATCCTCTCATAACCTGGTGAACAGTATTTCAGGAGAGAGAGCTCTTCTCAGCATCCATCTTTAAACATCTTATTCCAGTCCATCTGAAAAGCTTAAGGGCTAAGAAAGGGTATTCACTTTTAATCTGGATTCCATGTCTTACTGTGACTTTAGCTGAGAATCGTATTTTCCACTTGTTAAATATCCACTAAGGCTAAGATTGTGTGTCAGGTGATTTGGGCACATGGTTGAATCCTCACTGATCCTATTAGGAAGTAATTAATGCTTTTTTCATATTAGAAAATGGGGGCTCTACATGGTTCGATGGCCCATCATCATAAAGCTAATAAAAAGTATGGCTAAATTTAATTTTGAATCTATTCTACTTCAAAGCTGACACTTTCTACAACATATCACTTCCCTCTTCACCAAGTACCATATATATCACAAATTAAGATGTGTAACAAAGGGAAAGTCACTTTCTTTTGACTAAACAAGCTCCCACACAGATCTGAATTTCTGTGAACACTATGAGAGTGTTCAGCTGATGTGATTTGAGGATAAAGGATTCTAATCCTTATCAATGAAGTATCCATTTAAGCAGGCTTATAAAAACAATGGAAGGTATAAAATAAAATTTCTTCATTTTTCATTTTTAAAACCTAATATGACATCAATGCAAAATCTAAGTATGGGATCTGACATGTTCAAGATGACATTATTCCCATGAATAAGAGGGATAGAATAATTGCTCTTTAGGTCATACAGCCAGAGCATGTTGTCCTCAAATGATCCTGTATATGATACAGTCTTTTCTTTTGACAGGGAGGCTGCATGGCTGGTGACAGTGCTGACCAGGGACAGGAGGTGGGGACTGTAGCTTCCACCACTGAGTCTATCACTGGCTATGATCTAGAGCAAACCAGTTCATGTTCTTGAGCCTCACTTCCCAATCTATACTTTGGAGAAGGTTGACCAGGTGATTTTAGCAATCCTAGATTAGCATTCTTTGTGACTATGCCACAGTACCACTCATGCTACATTGTGTGCAACCACCTAGATTGGGCCACACTCTCCCATCTACTGGAAATAGAGGCTTAAACTTCCAGAAGGCTTTACATTCTGTTTCACTTGTTTGGTTGTCAATTTATACAGTGAAAGCCCAGTGGCACCTATTCGCATTTATAGCCAGATTCCAACATTCTGGGGGATCAGTCACTAGAAAAATAGCAGATTGTATGTGAATAAGGGTTATGCAAAGTAGTATTTTCAATAGCAGAATAAGATTTTGTTGGCTTTTAACTTGGGCCCGTTTGTACGATGTTAGATTGTATCAGTCCTCAGCATAGACTAACTGGAGGCCCTTGAGATATACAGGTTTGTATCTGTTATCTGAAATGCTTAGGATAAGAAGTGTTTGAGATTTTGAATTTTTTTAGACTTTGGAATATTTGAGATATCTTAGGTAGAGGACCCATGAAATTCATTTGTTTCATACAGACCTTATTTATATAGTTTGAAGGTAATTATGCAGTTTTTAGTGTGCCCACATTTTAACTACAACCTATCACATGAAGTCAGATATGGAATTTTCCACTTAATGGTGTCATGCCAGACCCTGCCCCCAATATTGGATTTTGGAATATTTAAGATTTCAAAGTTTGGGGTTAGCGATATTCAACCTGTACTAGAGTTATATCTGAAGCATACTTAAGATTCAAATTATTTACTTCAAACTCCCAAGTGTGTCACCTCCCAGTCACCCCATGTTTCAGGAAAGAGGTAATGAAAGCAACTTGACTTTATGTTCTAAGCATCATTTCAGGACTCTGATCAATAAGATGGGTTTGCCCCTCTGTACACTCAGTTATGGATGCATAAACCAGCTACCATGTTCTGTAACAATTTATTTTATTATATAATCAAAGAAAACAAACTTATAGTGTCTCCAAATATATATTGATAAATGGATAACCCTCTGTCACTCTTTGTTTTCAGCACTTTCAAATATCACCTATAATAATTTTTTCTTGAAAAAAAGCATAGGTGCATTCTTGAATACATAGTTTTGCAGTTTGATAGAATTCATCTAAAAAAGAAAGAAACCCAGCACACTTAAAACCAAAATACTTTCCATGTCCCTACGTGAATTTGATAGCAGGACACATGCTAACAAAACAAACCTCAAGATTATTTCATTCACAGTAAAAATGAATATTACAGCAATTCACTCAGAGTCAGTGAATTTAAAATTGTGATACAAGCTACAGCCCTTCTTTCTTGGATAACTGTTTTGGGGATAATAAGGCTCATTTATAAGGTAATTTGAGAGCTTCTGAAGGCAGGTACTATTATCATCTGCAGTGTTATGTGCACAGAGCCACTTACTGGTACCCATTAAACGTAACTGATAGATTCAGGTAATTGGGATGATTTCAAAATGAAAACTGCAATATTTATTTCTCTACATATCCTATCATTAGTCACTTATTGGAAGGCCAAGACATTCTGTTATAGCAAGGCCAAGACATTCTGTTATAGCATCTAAGGTAGAAACAATAAAACTGAGAAATCAATTCATTATTTCCAGTAAACCAATGTTGCTTTTCCTATAATGATTCAAATTATTCCTGAAAAGCTACTATATGACACTGTACTATAAATTTATGTTACATTTTTGGACTCATTTTAGGAAACTGACAGTTCTGTTTGTTGTCCTGCCAACTTAAGCAGATATGGCGTATGCAGCTTTTGTTCTTTAGTAATCATATTACTAAGTAGTACAGCACACTCAATTACTCCCCACAGTTCCTACCCCAAACTACCGGGGCACAATATCTCTATGTTATCTTTGAACCAAAAGGCACTGTAATTTCTTCACTGATTTTTTTTTTCAACTACACATATTTTATCTTCTCCATAATTAAAAAAACTCTTTTTGAATACACTCATATGGGATATATAAAGTTGTAGGAAGCAAGAACACAAAGAAATTAAGAATCTTTATAGTTGGACAGAAATTATAGTGGCCAGGAAATAATACATATGCATCAGTCCAAAGAATATCTAATATGATAATTGAGGTAGAAAAATAGCACAAATATGCAACAGTAGGGAGAGACTCGGCATATCTTTTTAAGATTCTGGAAGACAAATTTGGAAGCTGTTTTTATCAGGTCCATGCTTGGAAAGTATCTTTAGGGAGAGGCATATGACAAGGACTTTTGAAGGTTTAGTGTACATTTGTCACACTTAGTGACTGCCCAGCATCTCTTTGAGCACATTTCCTTTGTTTATGCACCTACCTACCATGTGAGCCCTACTTCCCCAGGATAGAAACCCCAGTGTGGCAGCCTGGAACTCACCGTCTCAGCCTTCTAGGTCACTGAAGCTAAGATGTGGGACCTAGGTTCTAACAAGAACAGGAAACCCTGCATGGAGTCTCTGTTCTGGTGAGGATGGTAGAGAGAGATCTACCTCTCAGGAGCAATAGTGGCAAAGGTCCTTTTGGAATATACATGCCCTTGGTAGGCAATGGCAGCAGGGTCCCTCTGGGCAGTGTAATGGGGCCTTGCTTCTGCCGCTGGCCCACTCATCTTGATTCTCTTGACCTTCTGAGAATTCCAAGAGCTACCAAATATCTTTTCTTTTGTGGGGTGGGGGTACTAGGGATTGAACTCAGGGGCACTCGACCACTGAGCCACATCCCCAGTCCTTTTTTTGTATTTTATTTAGAGACAGGGTCTCACTAAGTTGCTTAGCATCTCACCTTTTGCTGAGACTGGCTTTGAACTCAAGGTCCCCCTGTCTCAGCCTCCCAAGCCGCTGGGATTACAGGCATGGGCCACCACCATGCCTTTTAATCAGTTCCCTTTCCACTTAAACTTGCTAAAGTTGGCTCTGTTGCTTACAACTAAAAATCCTAATACAGGATTAATGCATTTCACTAAATCAGAATTTAACACATGGCACAATTGGCATTTTGGATTAGATACTTCTTGGTAGTGTGGGATGATTCTGTAGGAAGTCCCCATTTCTGACCTCCAGGTACTGAATGTCAGCAGCAGGCTCCAGTTTTCTTAGCAACTACATCTGCCTCCCACTTTTCCCAAATCCTCTGTGATTGGACAGTTGGGGGATTTATTATTAAATAGTGCTCTCCCAGGAGCATAAAACAGTTAATACTCCTTCTCATTTCCACTTTATCAAGAAGTAATTTAGTCTCAAAGGGTACATGCTTTCTGAGGCTCTGTATACACACTTATCAAGCATCCATATGGAAAAAGAAAAATGAAGCCACACATATTTTGTGTGATATGGATCAGAACACCTGTTACTGCACTTGAAAAATGGTGGGAAGGATCTGTTGTTACGGTAGTTATGATGTCATTGTGGCATGAATTGTCTTGATTTGTATGATTTTAGGGAGTAGAGATTAGAAAGAAAAAGGTATTGGAGCAGGCTGTGCTCTACACCATACTGTCTCCATTG